TTTCTTCGCTTTGTGTCTGAACTTTAAGCATGTGAATTCGCTAACCTCAAAAGCGTCAACCAGTAGAAATTGAGAGAGGGTAAAAAATGGAGGGGCTTTTCAGTCAACACAATGGCTTGTGTCACTCATAGATGCAAAAAACTAACCAGTTAACTAGCTAACGTTAGCTGCTCACCACGCTCAATTAAATTTCTTAATGGCAGATGAATTTGATTCCTTGCTGAGTTATGTTAGATTAATTTGAGTCAATAAAAGAGATTCAGAACCTTTGTTTTTAAAAATATTTAAAGATTTTCAGATTTTAAAAAGTGGTCTGTCGAAACACTTAGCAAACATGCATAAACTGCTAAATGGTCTTTAGACCACACAATAGTGTTCACTACAATACACAGTCTGGCATCCCTGTCTGTTATACTGAATCACCTGCAGTTTGATGTTGGGATTTTGAGGAACTGTTTGTGAGTGTGAAAATGGAATCATATCACTGATGTGGATGAGAAATACGCTCAAGTTATGTGTATGAACATGTATGTGCTGTTGATCTGGCTTGAGGTTAAGTCCAGTAAGATGGTGAGATGGCAAACTGTATTAAAGATTACACTTGCATAACACAGGATGAACTCTGACAGGCCAAAGATGTTAATAAGCTTCAATAAGATTTAATGAGATTGCAGAGTGGGGTGGGGTGGGGCTGGCTGTTAAGCGGATAGAGGGAGCAGAGGGAGGTATATGAAGAGAAAATAGGGAGAGAGAATTGTGGACAGATAGAACCCCAGAAATAGCTTGTTGTTGTTGTTTTGTGGCTGTGATGGATCCTTGCTCACTTAGTGGCATTGTGCAATATAAGTGAAACTGGTTAGTTTACTAATTAGTGGTAAAACAATAAGTCAATAAATGAATTTAGACTCTTTTTTATCAGCAACCAGCCATGTAAACAAACCAATGTCAATCATGTATATCAACAAAATCAGCTTTGAAGCAGATCCACAAATAGAGATCTATTTCAATGCATTTAGGGTCAGTGTTAGTCTTAATCCCTGAATCCTGATTTCCTCAATCCTATAAAGCAACATCTGCTGCGTCCTCCAGCCAGCATGGCCTTATTCAACTTTATTTAGATCCTATAAAAAGCTTCACAATCTTTGAACCTAAAGTAGAACAATTAATCTGAGTGTCAATTAGCAGGGTTCATCTGTAACATCAGAGATTAGCCTCATTGCTAATCCAGATTATTTCCAGGCACAGCCGCTGAAGTTAAACTCACACTGACCATTGTGGGGCAGCAGAGAGAGCAACAACCAACTGAAGCCACACATTTTTCTGTTTGTGTATTTCTCCTGCAGGTGAAGGCAGGTGCAGTCCGAGATGAACTCGGCTCCCCCCGCAGGCAGCGCCCTGGCGGCTCCAGCAGGCGGAGCTGGACCGACCACACCCAAAAAGGGCCCGCCCAAATTCAAGCAGAGGCAGACCCGCACATTCAAGAGCAAAGCCCCTAAACCCGGCCAGAAAGGGTGGGTCACACACACAAACATGAAAAAGCACACACTACAGCAGTGGGCCGCAAAAAACGGGCGGATGGGCATTTTTGTGCCGATGACATACACTCCCCATTTCTGTAGTGGTTTAAAATGTACTTTTACAGCTTTTATAAATAGAAAATGTTATGCCAAGTGTGGCAAACTGTGTGTGAAAATATCCTCTCACTGTCCTGCAATACAATAATAGAACAAAACTACAAAATGCACAGAAACCTATCTATCCCTGGTCCATCTTTGTAAGAAATATCTAATCTGTCCTCTATGTGTTATCCATTCAAAGGCTTATACAGGAACACTGCTCCAAGTTTTTGGGATTGCAGATGCCTCATGAAAAGGCCCCAATTAGATATAGTTTGGCACAGATATAAATCAGACATTATAATCCACAGCACAGCTGGGACTGATATACTCTACAGGAAAGAAATGTGTTTTGTTGTATTGGAGCAAAGAGAAGTTTCCACCATTTCACTTATTTAAACAAACTGTGATTTTTTTTATCATCAAAGAGGCCTTAAAATTTATCTTAGCCTTTTCTATAAACTCCTTGCAATACTTCTTTGACATGTCATTTTTCTTTTTCTTTTTTTTGCTTAAACTGTAAGAGAACCAATAAACGATAAGAAAATAAATATTTATTATATTTATAATAATAAACCCCTAAGCCCTTCAGATTAGGATAAGGTTGTGCCCTAATTACAGTATCTGTGTCTCTTACTAGCTTCTCGCTACTTCTTTCAGGTTTGGTGACGACATCCCTGGAATGGAGGGCCTTGGCACAGGTGAGTGTTCTTTCATTAGAAGAAGCAGTGAGCCCCTTGCCCCCCCAAAACTCCTGCCTAAGTGTTAAAATAATAATGGATGTTTTCTTTCTCTCTGTTCTCTCAGACTTCACGGTTGTGTGCCCCTGGGAGGCCTTCGGGGACATGGAGCTCAGCGATCTGGCAAAATATGGCATCATTTAAAACTCTGCCTCCTCTTCCTCCCCACCTTCAACTCTGCCCTATCCTCTCAGACTCCACCCACTCAGCCCTCCTCTTGTCGCGCGGTTATGCCACACTGCATGTGTGTGCCATAGCATGGCCTGATATAAGGGACTGATATAACTGCACACATATAATCTAATATTTTTATGATTGTTATTATTATTATATAATATTTTATACTGACTTCTATCTGTTGCGATAAGATGACCCCCTCAATACTCCCGTTCCCCATCACCACCATCACTATTTTTCCTACCTCGACTCCGCTCATTACAGTAACAATGCTAACTGATAATCAGCATCGCCCCCTAGGGTGACTCTGCCACTAAATGTGCTGTTTTTGATGTGGTGTTGTAGCCTAAATGATGTAGCGTAAATATTATATGTTAACGAGAACATTCTGTCCTGCCTGTCTCCTCTGCACTCTAAAGTTTGTGTTAGTGGTGTTTTGGGCTTCTGCAGTAACTAATCAGTGACCATAAATATGGTGTTTTTGGTCCACATCACAATGCAGTAAAAATTCATTTTAGAACCCTTCCCCACCCCAAATCCCCCTCTTCACTCTTTGTTTTCTCTGGCCTCAAAAAGCCTGTCCTCCAAACGCATTTAATTTATTAAATGTAAATGTCCGTTTGTAATTATCTGGGTAGAATTCAGTAAAGTGTATATTTTCAATAAAATTGTCCTTGTTTTATTATAAAAACTGAAATATCATAAATACAATAAAGTTTAATACACATATACAAAATAAAAAATGCTCTAAACAAATCCAGATGTGCATTTTTTTAATGATGCCAAATGAAAACATGCCTACGCCATCTTTTTTTATTTCACCAACCTCTCAGACTCAGACTTTCAGTGATAACCTAAAGCAACAAACAGTCTATACTCATTTTTCTAGTACCAGGACAAAAGCCCTACATGCCTGAATGCTTTTATAAGACCACTTACACACTAGTGGCACTTGAGCATTCATTTAAAGCATAAGAATCAACTGTAACTAGCATGTAGACTAGCAAGTGTGGAATGTGCTAACACGATCCATGCTAACCTGGGCCCTAAACTGAAAAACTAAAGCTAACAAACTAAAACTATATATATATATATATATATATATATTCCAAAACACATTATTTTTTTCAACTTCAATAACATTAAACAAAAAATTCGCAAAAACATGATTCTTATTACATGCACTGGCATATACTGCTGCTCAAATGTTTGAAGGCTTTCGTGATTGTATTCACTGACTGATTATACAGTGGTGATTTAAATAATATAAACCGCACACCAAAAAGTTTTAGAACTTAATTCTAAATGCTATTTCAGACAGCTTTGAATCATCTACAGCTCAATCACATATCATTTATGTGTGGGAGAAAAGTGGGTGTGGGAGATAAGTCATTCTTAAAAATATATGATTTCTAACTGAAGTTTTGGATTCATATCCAGTCTGTTTCAGCTGCATACAACTCCTCAGCTGTACACTCTCCACTGTTCTTTGTTTTGGTGCAGGCATTGGCAATGAACCTCATAGTCCAGGCTGTTACTCTGAGCACTGTCTTCAGCTTGCTGTACTTGCCTAGATGTAAAAGTTGCTAAGTTGTCACTGGTCCTTAGCTGAACTGCAACCCGAAAGCTTAATTCTGCACTGACTTCGTCAATTGGAAACTATTGAGTTTCAAGTCAAGTCTAGTCAAAGTTTATTTATCTAGTGCATTTTACAACAAGAGAAGAGAGAATAAGGTTTTAACAGCAGTGTAAAATATTAAAATACAGAAAAGGAGAAAAGCAGGTGAAGCAATGACTATGAATAAACAGTTTGAGTCTGAAGGGTCAGCGGCATGCAGATGAGGTGTGCACAGTGTTGCACAGCAGGAAGCTCTATGGTCGCACTGGTTCCACGGTGGTTTGCTGTAGTTCATGTGCTAATAAAAGGAATGAAGGTCCACTCCACCACAGCTGGCTATGCATAAGATTACTTGCTGTCAGCCCTCTTATAGGAAGGTCAGGGTTTGTCCTCCCATCACAGTGTGACCATGATTCTGGACTTGAATCTCAGCCGCTTGATTCGCAACAAAGGGTTTCCAATTCTGTGTTGTGCTAAAGCAGTAGAGAGAATATCCTTTCCACAGGTAGGGATAAAGTAGGCCCCGTCCTCATCATGGGAACTCGTAATGAAATCGCTCACACACAATGATTTTCTTAATGTCTCTACAACTGTGGGCATTTGTGCTTCATATTTTTGGAAATGCTTTATGATTGTAGCAGCCAGCAGAAATGGGCTCATTGTCATAACACACGTATCATTTTTACTGTCTTTAGATGGAGGCCCACTGAGCCATAGGAAACTGACAGCAACTCTGTCTCTCTCTCTCTGCCAAGGAAATCTGCAAAAAGGCTTTGGTAACGTCTGTCATGAAGGCTACCTTATGTAGTCTGAACTTGATAAGTACACTCAGTAGCTCTGGGTTCAAGTTTGGTCCTTTAAGGAGACAGTCATTAAGGGACGGACAGACCTTCTCATGTGATGAGGCATCAAACACCACCCTCAGGAATGTTGTTACCTTGTCCTCTTTGAAAGTTGCATGATGTGAAGTAGGTAATACTTCACAGTGTTTGTTTGCCTGGTTGCTACATTGTCATCTGACACTACTTCACATATACCCTGCTGCAGATAATCCGACGATAGTATCAGGTGTGAGGAGGTGTGTGTGTGTGTGTGTGTGTGTGTGTGTGCGTGCGTGCGTGCGTTCTGCTGTAAGTACGCTGGCGCAGTATGGCTGCCGCTTTACATCAGTTAGTTTTGTATTGTTTGTGTGTTTGTTTTGATGTTTGCCTGAGAAGTTTGCCGTCATATCCACTGACATAGCAGCCGAGAGTGACTTTCCAGCTATGGCTCAGAGGCTTATTGGACTGGCTGTTTGGGTGACACTACATCGCAGCTATTATGCAGCCAGGACCGGCCGCTTGAGTGACGCTGCATCGCGGCTATGGGGCTTCCTAGACTGGTGGTGTTCGGCTGCAGGAAAATGCTCCCCCTTCGTGGCGAAAGACATCTTCGGCCTTCGAGGTTTCCCGGGCCGGCCGCCCGTGTGATGTACTTTAGTTGCGGTGCGAGATTTTCCCTGCCGCTAAGGACTCTTTCCAGGCTAGCTAAGTGACTCTATACTGTGGTCAGTGAAATTCCCTCCGCTAGCTGTGGGAACCGTGGAGTGTGTGTGTGTGTGTGTGTGTGTGTGTGTGTGTTCTGTGTTATGTATTGTTGATTATGTATTTATTGTAAAGCGTCCTTGAGCCTTGAGCATGGGAAAGGCGCTATATAAATAAAAGTGGTGATGGTGATGATGAATCCTATATCACGTCATTGTATCTTGTGTAGAGAGTAACATCATCTTCAGTGTTTCCTCTCTAGGCTCTACTTTGGCAGTCTGCAACAGTACTGTATTCTGACTATCTGGTTTCACTTTCACTTTGCTGGGAATCACAGGGGAATTGATGGCATGTGCATTTGAACTAGAAACTACAGGTTGCACGTCACTTTTCTTGCATACTGCTTGGTGGTGTCTGCGGCCACCCGTGGCACATGAGATGCCCTTGGCTTTACAGAACTTTGCTATGTGTTTGGGACCTAGACACACAAAGCATGTCCCTATTTTTTCAGCTTTCCCTTTTGGGTAGAACATTAGTTTTTAGGGCACTGCTCTGCTTTTTGATTTGTACTTGCACACAACAAACAGCACTGTGGGGTATTATGACTAACAGTGCCTAATGCATCTGCTGATGGCTTGTTAACACTTTTAGGTTTCATTTTACTGGATGACAGTATCTTTGGATATGCCCTTTGACTTGATCGAGCCTCCCTTTCTCTCTTTGTTAGCTACTGGATCTGCTCAATTGAAGGGCTCTCTCCCTGCTTTCAACTTCTATTCATTGAAATTTCAGCTCAAGCACACTCAATTCTTCGTCTGACTCAGTCTGACAAGCGTAGACGAGAGCAATGTCGTCAGCTATAATCTGCAATAGTACTGGGCACAGCAAGCTACTATATGTATTACTGTACACATCCAGGGATTCCAAACTGTGTGAGTGTCTGACTTTCACATTCATCATAGAGCTGCCTTAATGCTGTTACATCTTACAATTTTTCACAGGAATCAAATTCAGTAACTTTGACGTGCACTAACCACAATGCCCTTTCTTTCAAATCTGTTCTGAAGCAACTCCATGGCTGTGTCACAATTGCTGTCTCTCAACGTGAGCTGCCTTTGCTGCTACTCCAACAAGATGCCCATTTTTAAGCCTGATTTGGTCATAGTCAACCTCATAGTCAATGTTGGCAGGACATAGTTGGTGCTCTTCAGTTGTGGTTTGTTAGCTAGCTGGTTTGTTGATGCCATCAACACATGCTTTTCACACTCAGTGTCTAAATGCATAGCTGTGTTCATGTGTTTGAGAAAGACAGAGAGGTTAAAGTTGACCTGGACCAGATTTGTACTGGTTGTGTTCTGTAGGCGTGTATACCTTTGTTACTTTCACATATGTTTATATGTGGTGAAAGCCCAAATGTTTTTCCATCTTATTTTTATCAGCCATTGAGGAGAAAACCAGAGCAGGTTCTCTTAGAACCCAGTGTGGAAAGCTTCTCAAACCTAGTGTCAGTGGTCATACACCTCCAACATCAAAGGATTGTACACACCTAGACATTTTAAAGCCTCATGGGACACACAGAACCACAGTAACAATGTTGACAGTAAGTCATGTCAAACTTTATTTAAATTGAACACATACAGTGGGATACAAAAGTCTGAGACTACACTGAAAATCTTGGATGATTTTCATTTAAATGACACATACGCACACTCTAAACCACTTATCCTTCTGGGTCACAGGGGGGTGCTGGAGCCTATCCCAGCTGTCATTGAGCAGAAGGCAGGATACACCCTGGACAGGTCACCAGTCCATCACAGGGCAGATAG